CAAGACTTTTATTGGGCCTCCGTAAATCCACTCACATTACACCTGCGTTAGCATCATTACATTGGCTGCCTGTCCTGTTTAGAATGAGTTAAAAACCCTAGTTTTTGTTTTTAAGTCCCTAAACAACTTAGCCCCCTCATATCTATCTGCACTTCTATCTCCACATAACCCTTCTCGAGCTCTTCGATCCGGTTGTCATAGATTGCTCAATGTTCCCAGAGTCAGACTTAAACAAAGAGGTGAACGTGCCTTTGCTGTCACGGGTCCTAAACTCTGGAACAGTTTACCAGTTCATATTAGATCTGCTCCTACAATACATATTTTTAAATCTTTGCTTAAAACTCATTATTTTTCCATTGCTTTTAACGTCCCTTGATGATTCATTTTTAAATTCGACTTTTGTTGTTGTTCCGGTTTTCTTTTGATATCTTGTTGATAATTTGTCTCTGATTTTATCTGTGATTTTTTTAATGTTTTGCTTGTATTTATTTTATCTGATGCTGTAAAGCACACTGGTCAGCTGCCGCTGTTTTAATGGTGCTATATAAATAAATTAAATTTGAAACCTGAATATAGGTACAAAGGTGTAGCTTTTGAAAAGGTCTAGTGACAGCTTTTGTACCTTTTTATTGTATGCTAAAAATCTAACACCACATTTTGCCTATGAATTATCCCACTTGGAAAAAAGAAACTGTGAATTGCAGTTTCTAACTCCTTAAAAGGGTACTGTCATACAGAAATAACTATAGCTAAGTATTACTAACTCTTGTCCCACTCTTGTTTTGTTTTAATGGGGCAACTGTATATCATTTCCCCTTTAAATGTTGTCTGATTTTTTTTTTAATATAGGACCACCATTTATAGCAAATTAGTGAGGTCCTGATATTAACGTTTTAACAAGAAAGTTAGGAGTAATTAATTAGGCTGCAGGGCTCTCTAAGCTATTTAGGGGCATCCGTTCATTGAACATTGAGAGCGCATTTCTCCTGTCCAAGGGCTTTTCTCCTGTCCAGCTCTTCTCAGTTCACATTGCCTCTCAGAGGGCAGAATAGCCCAAGCCTTGATCCTCATCAGTTGTCATCCCCAGTTCGGGCCACTTTGGCCGCTGCTAGTGGGGAAGTCAGGCCTAATCCCTGGAAGGAATCAGGGCAAAAGAAAAGCAACAATAACCAAGTCAACCGTAAAAAATGAAAGCGAAATCTCTATTATCAGCCCCAACATTTCCCAGCGATGCAGTGAAATCAGGCTGGTTTGTCATTCGAGTCAGACACCGGGGGGAGAATCTGGGGTCGCTTTGGGTTGGTAGACTCACACGACGTTTAGAGAGCAATATTTCGGCGAAAGGGGGCCTCGCATTTGCAAAATCCCCCTCACATCCCGCCATAAGCATTAAATGCAGTCTGACTTTATGTTGTATAGGCAGCGCAAAACAAGAAAAGAGGCACAGTTCTCGCATAAAAGAACGCGATTTTGGGGGATTAGGGACGGCCCAAAGGTTTGGAGAATAACTTCTGCATAACTTTACAGCTCCTCTCTCTCCAGGTTTAGACTACGGCTTAAAGCGCACAGTCCTTAGTTAACCCTTAACTGGTCCCTTATAGTCAAGAGTCATTACCAAGCAGGGCCGTTTCTAGCCAATTTGAATTTGATCATTTGCTACTCGTTAACGCGTTAACGTCCCCTTTAAATAACGTGACGCTCTGCCCTCTATGACGCTGCTCCCATTAAGCGCTGTTGGAAGTGAATGAATTGATTCAGCATTTCGACACCTCCGTAAGGATGCATTTAACTCGACAAAGCGGTCTAATAAAGGATGTATTGATCTCGTGAATTAGCGAATTTTACTATACAAATATATGGGAATATTACATGACACGCTGATCCTTTAACAATGCATTGGCGCAAAAAAACGCACACCTTTTGGACAAATCTGCCACAAATATTTGGACAAATGTGCCACAAAAGTGCCACAAATACTGCCTAAACAAAATACTGATTTTGTGCACTTTATTTACTGTACCAATATTTTAAATTGGCCTTTGAACTTAGCTTTACTGCATGGCAAAAAAAAAGTGTTACCTTGCCAAAGCACTGACAGAGCCCACTGATCTAATGGCGTTGTTGAGCGCTCCAAATGCAAACTTTGCATGCAACAATCAGGCAGCAATTGACAGCACTCTGATCTAGTGGCATACAGGCATCGTCAGATTGACAGTACTCTAGCCCAATAATGTTGGGGGATCCAGTGGGGGCGGCAGTCATATTTCAGGGTGACCGTGCCACTCTTTATCACAAACCTGCTAAAAGTGCCAGTACGTGCGCTCATTGGCGCCCCTTCAGCTGGTGGCGCCCTAGGCGACCGCCTAGCTCGCCTATGCCTAGAAACGGCCCTGTTACCAAGCCAAGGTAAAGCTACACTGCAGAATAAAAAGAGCCCGAATCGCATTTATTTTTTAATCTTATAATTTTAATATGCAATATTTATATTTTATCAAGACGTATCAAAAAGTCATTAATTGTCAATTAATTTATCCACCAAAGAGATGAGACAGACGATCAAATGAATCCACATTCATCAGTTGTGTAGCTGTTATTGGTGTAATCCAAACGTGATATTTGGACAGCAGATTTTTGTTTTAAGATTTTAAACGCCTTAAGAACAAAACAATTAATCTCTTGATAATGTCATCACGATCACATGCCTCATTTAGCCTACCTCAGAAATGATTGTGAGGGTCAGATGACCCATGAAATCAATGTCTCTTGTAGTTCCTTGAAAACCTGCTTTTCGTTTTAAAAAATTCATTAGGATAATCTTGAGCCACACACATTTATAATTTCCAGAATTTAAGCCAAGTTATCCAGGCTCATCTCTTTGCTTAAGAGCTCTCCAGTCGATGAAGATACTTCACTTAGGCAGCCTAATTAGGGATTTTTGTCCTCGTTCAGTTGCCTCTGTCTCCGTTGTGCATTCAAATGAAGTCCTTAATGCACGTGGTAATTGTAGGCCTACCTGTATAAAAACCTGATTAGCTTCACACTGATCAATAATCTTATTTCTTCCAGGACATGTGATGTAAACATAGGCTATAATAGGCCTATATATTTGGGCATGTCAGTAGGTAACATATATAATATAACATATAGGCTATCTAAAATATTTTGGGGTATTTTCACTGCAAACTTCCTCCTCTGTGTGATTGTGTATGGCTACACCACGTTCATAAACTCTCTGCTTGCAAACCGCTGAATTCAGCTGCCGGGGGGAGGAGGGATGACTTGGATCATCCAATTTAAGGCTATCACAATAACAGAGCTGCTACACTGTAGTAGTAGAGAGCTAATGCCACAATCCACGACATAAAACCTGCGAATTTACCCTCAGACATCAGCGCACGCAGCAGAATAGCCCTTAATGCGAGGCATTCTGAGTCCCCCATTTCCATCAAGCTCTCATGACTGCAGAATTGCCGCGGACTGCAAGTTATCAAGAGGCACTAATTTCACATTAAAGACCATTGACTGCAGTGGCTTGATTCGAGGGTTTGCGACAATTAACACAATCAGAATCGGAGCCCAGATCGTTTACCTTGACTCCGTAATTATTTTTTTGGCCGAGCGCAAGAGAGAAGAGAGATGCGGCGCATTTTTTATAAAGCCACTGTCTCCAAACACACAGAGAATAATGAAACAGAAAAAGAATACAGTCAGAAATATATTAGACTGTTTATTAATCCCGATATTAAACGGTTTAAATTAGGTGTCAGCGTTTATGTTGTAGCCTACCTTTTAAAATTCACGTCGACTTTAGATTAATGTTGATAGTGATAATTAAAATAAATAGACTACATTCTGTGTGCATGATCAAAAACTATCACGAAAATAGACTCCTTTTGCAACTTTTAAGAAGCTGTTAAATTTCTTATTAACTGTATTTCCTAACCGTGACAGCACCATAGGCTAGCCTATAGCCTATTTTCCCAACAACTGAAAATTCACAACGTTATAAACTAGTAGTAAAATTTATATTTCATAAAAAGGCCATCACATAGGCTATATTTTCAGCTTTTTCTGTAATAATTCAGTGCAACATGCAGAAATTCAACTCTTAAGTAGAAACGTTAATCTGTCTAAATTCAAGCAAAATTGTTTAAGTTGAACGGTAAATTGTTAACACAAAACAACTGGAAATGGCTGAAACGGGACTCAATACCCAGGCTTTGTCCAAATACCCACACTTGCAGCAGTCTTTGCACTTGACCACTTGATTACTTAAATGACGTATTTCCTGTATTTGGCCGAAGTCTTCAAGTGGGTGTGAAGACCACAAGTGTGTGTCGAACTTTTCATTACCTGATGGGACACACTTATAGTGTTGTAAAAATGCAAGTGTTTTACACAGCTTTATTTTACCAATTTGAAATACTTTGCATTTTAAAATCAACTTCTAAAGTCTGTTCAGTAGTCCCTATAACATGACATAATTTTAATTTGTGGTGCTTCTAATTATATGATAAAAAGCAGTTGCAAATGTTGTACAAAATAAATATCATCACAACTCATCTTTGCACCAATAAAAGTAAAAACACTGTTTTTCTACCAAATTATTTGTAATATCTAATTATTATATTAATATTTAACTTGCATTGGAAAGGTTTCCGTGACCTCTCGCGAGATCTCTGCGAAAAGTCTTACGATTTATTTCCAGAACATGATGCATGATGGGATACACTTAGCCTTGAATAGCGCTCTGGAGCGGTATTCGAGATAGTGTGGATTTAGTATCCATTAAGGGCACTGCACTTTGGCATTTTGAAGACATGGGACAGACTTGCACACTTACTTCCTGTCGCGCGCACGCGCTCTCAAGTGGCCAAGACCGCAAGTGTGGGTATTTGGACAAGGGGAATGTCCACTTCTTTTTCACTTTGGACATTACAGGTGCGCCTGTCATTTGAAATCCCGTGCATCGCGAGATTACCCTAGCCATGTGACCGAGACGTCGGGAAAGGAAAGAAAACAGGAAGCTGTTTAGAGTCGCAAAGCGGCAGCGTGTTGTGTTTGGAGTGTATAAGATATGGCTTTGTTAACGAAATTTACATTTGTAATGGCATGCTGGGCTGTTACATTCATTACCGTTGCTGACTGCTCGATTTACCCATCAGAGATGAGTGGCGATAGTGCACGAAAGCTGCCGTCAGCATTCATCCCTGTATCGCAGGCGAGCACTTTGGGATCTTTCTACTCTCTCAGTCTTTCATCTACATTTCCAGAGGACTTGGAAATGAACGAGTATTGCATTGAACTGCTTCGCATCTACCGTCAGCGTTACGTGACTTACGCGAACTGCCTGGTGACTTATGCACGACCTGTCAAAATCTGTCAGAACTGTTACACTGGCTTCAACAGTCTGGAGGACATTTATAAAAACATATCATCTGACCAAGTAGGTGCTCATTCCAAGTCGAAATGTCCATTTATAACACCAAAGTGCATATAAATGTTCTCGCATGGTTTGAAGGTGGACAAGAATTCCCACCCGCTGGTCACATGCACTCATGTCTCGTGATTGTGTGTGTTCACTGTGTTTCACCAAGCCCGAATCACACTGACTCTGGAATATTTTAGTATGCTTAAAGAGCTATTTTTAGTATAACTATTTAAATAGTTACACATCAGTATCATAATCTCATTGTACCTTTTAAAATGAACAAATTTAACACCTATGCTGGTTAGTAGGCTTTTTTTTTGTCGTTTTACGCGTTATTATAAAATCAGTTATGAACTGCAGCTGTAGACGTTAATGAAAAATACTTAATAACTTGTGATTATGTGTTGTCCTCATAGCCTGGCCCTGGAAATGTCAGTTGCCATGACAGCCTGATGCGTTCTGATAGGTTGATGCTGCTCTATGCCCTCTTCAGCAAATTAGATGAGATATGGACATCAGCAGAATGCAAGCGTAAGTAACATAGCCAGAAATATTGTAGGTTCATTTAAAACTGGCATTAGACTGTATGCTTCCCTTCTCTGGTGCTCTTCGGTCACTTTTGACCGAAACATTTTCTGTTTTGAATTTTTAAAAATCACAGCTTCATCGGAATAGTACGAAACTTGGTGACTTTTATGGCATTTGAAATGTGAACACACAAAAAAAATTGAGGGCATGATTCAAGCAGATGAAGTGGTCGTAAAAAAAATAGTCACACTTGTGGTCTTCGGTCAAAAATGACCGACCATAGGAAATGAATGGGAAATCGACAAATCTGACACAGTGCAGAAAAAAAGTACACTGCAATGACAGGGTGAAACTCTAAAACATCAAGAGTGCAAAACCAACACATCCACGTACACACACACACCTATGAACTGGTGTGGCTGTAACACAGCAAATATGTAAAATAAAAGCAATAATTCAACTACAATGCAGTAAAAAAGCGGACAGCAAGGAAGGGGTTACAAACAAAAGAGTGCCAAACAGACACACTCACTCAAACACACACTCACTTACACACACTCACAGACACACACAAACATACACACAAATGAATTGGTATGGCTATAACCATATAGCCAAAACAAGTCAGAAAACTGAAAAAAGAGGTTGAAATCAGATCATACCCAGAAGGATTAAGCTCTGATAAAACATTTCTGTTCATTTTTGTTACATTTTTATAGAATTTTAATGTTTTGTGTAACAAAATGCTTTCTCTGTGTTCAGGTTTGACTGTAGTAATACTAATTCAAAAACTGACACTTCAAATCAATATTTCAAACCAAAAAAAAATCTAAACCTTTACAAAAAGTTGTCTTTGAGAATGTCTAAATATATATCCAAACCCACAACTTAATAAAAATAAGTATTTATGTCTAAAACAATTAGAGAATTTATAGGCCTTTTTATATAGAGCTATATAGAAATCTATGGGCTAAACCATGGAATTGCAGAAGTTTTTCTTATTTTACTCCCACCAGATGGCACTAATCTGGCTTCAAAATGGGATTTTAAAGGCATTGACTCTTATTTTAACATGAAATACTGCATTCATTGAAAAGTAATATAAAAATATATTTAAATTTTTTTTTTGTTTTTTTTTTGGGCAGAAATTCATCATAATTATTGCATAAATCTTAATTAGTGCCATGAAATTATCTCAAAATACAAAATAAAAAACATAGTACATTGATTTTACTGGGGCGAAAAAAAGTTAAATTTCAGGTGTCTGGTCACTTTTGATCGTGAAGATCACAAGTGTGACTCCCAAACGAGGGCACCAGAGGGTTAAGCATGTTTCTTTCATTTTCACTCTTAACCAGATTATATACTTAACACCACTTGTGGTAGTATGAAGAAATTCAGCCAGTTTTTGAGTAACATTATTTGATTTTATTTCATTTATTGAATGTTATGATTATTTGGAGAATAATTCTAATATTTTTTTGCTTATTAGAATGTCTGACTGAAGATCAAGAGGCTCTTTCCAATGATACTGTTTACTTCATGGCCACTCTGAATCAGTCACTCTCCTGTTTTGAACAACATCAGGTAATATCAGATGGCTCATATAGATAGGTACAAGCTCAGTTAAAACAAATTACTTGAGTATCCTGTTTTCTTAATAGAGGAACCACACTGAACTGTGTAAAGACTGCAAAGCCTCATACAAAAGGTTGAAAGAGCTCTATGGTAGAATGGACAAAAACCAAACACTCTGCATTGATTTAGAAGACGCAGTAAGTATGCACTAATATACACAAACCCTGTCATTTGACTCAAACACATTCCTAAGTTATTTGCAAATAAAGTTTTATGATGTGGAATTTTGGGAGAATTGTAAAACAGCACCCTCTGTAGCCCTAAATCTGTACAAACTAAATGCTGGAATACACAACACGACTTTTGTACAGATTTTTGCCCTGATTTGTAGTCTGGAGGAGTGGATGATAGTTGCCAAAAGTCAGAGCCAGTCTGCAGATTTTGGACAGTCGACAGATTATACAGAATTTTTTTTATTTTTTTTAAGCTTCAGACTATTATTCCATCCATTTGGAAATTATCAAACATGTTTGATATTTTGAGCCAATTTTAAAACACATTATTTTCATTTGTCACTTAGCTCCTAACATCGAAGCACATGTTTCTGTGTGAGTTTGTTGTTTTCAGAGCATCCTAAAAGTCTGGTAGTGTGTGAGCCTCAGTCATTTAGTGTATGATGCCCAGTTTTCCTCTGTAACCATTTACAATGTCGGCAAGTGTATGATGCCTAGTGTTTTACAAGCTGATCAGATTGTAAAGGAGTGGTTCAGATTTGGAGAAATTTAGCATTACATCACTTTGCTCACTAATAGATCCTCTTAAAGGTTTAGTTCACCCAAAATTGAAAATTCTGGATTCTGAAGATTCATCTACAAGAAATTTCCAGTCCATCAATTAACGTCCTGTGAAGCAAAATGGTGCATGTCCTGTCCATAATACAGTACATAATAATGCTTCCTCCAGTAAAAAAAAAAGTCCATCCTCTGTTGTCCTCTCACATTAAAATCCACTGACACAACACTGTTTTCACTTCTAAGCAGTGCTTGATTTTTGCCTATTTCTCTCCTGATTCAAATGAGACTACTTTTTCACCGGAGAAAGCAATATTATGGGTAGAGGACTCGTATTTTAGCCAGAAGCAATAGTTTGAAGTTTAAAAAAATCTTAATGTTGGGTTTGTTTCTTACAAACACGCAGCTTTTCACGGGACATTAATTATTGGGGACTGGGGTCATGTGGATTACTTGTGGGTAACTGTAATGCTCTTATCAGCTGTTTTGACTTTCATTTTGACGGCACCCATTCACTGCAGAGGATCCATTGGTGACCAAGTGATGGCAAATTTTCATTTTTGGATGAACTATTCCTTTAAAAGTGGTGTAGTGTATTCCAGACAGTAGCAACACCAAGGTCATGGGTTTTATTCCCAGGGAATTCATTAAAATCCATTATAAAGTGTATACCTAATATGCATTGTAATTTTCCTTTGGATAAAATCATAAAATCATCTGCCAAACACATTAATGTAATGTAACACACTAATCCAAAAAAAGCCATTGTTTTTTTTGTTGGTACAATGTATTTTAGATTTTTTTTTGTGTCTATTATTAACCTTAAATGTCTTATGTAGCTTCTTGTTAATTGTATGACTTTTGTTATTTATTCTGTTTTCACTATGAAGATGTTGGCATTAAAAAATAAATCAATTAATTAATTTTTGTTGCTACAGTGTGAACCAGCCTTAATGGTAGCAGATTATGATAGAACTATCAGATTTGTAGTATCATTACGTTGTTTACTTCTCAGATGAATATAACACAGCAGCTGTGGAGTAAAAACTTTAGTTGCTTGTTACCTCGGGAGGAGACGGTGCCTGTCATCGCAGTGTCCAGCTTTATGCTCTTCCTCCCCATAATCTTCTACTTAAGCAGCTTCCTGCACTCGGAACAAAAGAAACGCAAGCTTATACACCGTAAGTAACTTGCCTAACTGTGCAAATTGTCTCTGCAGTAAGTTGAAGTAAAAGGGCAGAGGTCTTGGACAGTGTTAATTGTACTTGCTTGATCCGTACTGCTTAGGTTTTATGGTCAATCACTTTCAGACAGTATTTAACCAAGTAGTCTCAAACATTACTAGTTTTTGCATCTTTTAAAGCATGTAGAACACAAAGTGCATTCTAAATGCTCTGAGCAAAGTCTCTGATGTCAAGGTTAAACTGCATTGAATATTCTGTTGCATCTCTTGCCAGTCTAGTTCTAATCTATTCTCTTATTCTGATCCACAGCCAAAAGAGCCAAGTCCAACAACAGCCTAATGAATATCCAAGATAAATTCAGCTGAGTGGAGATGAGGCGAGGAGGGGAAGAGAGGGCACTGAATCTTTGGTGCACCTCTCCCGCTAAATCAGCAGGCACTTTATGATGCTCTACAGATGCTGTGATCACAATTTATTTAAATCAGTTTTTTTTTTGCACTATTTGTAATTTGCACTATTGATTTAAAAAAGCCAATTGCAAGTTTTACTTTTTTTTTGCTTAGCTTTAAAAATAAGATAATTCTACTGGTTTTCACAGAGGATCAGTGATGATTTCAATAATTACGATGCATGTCAGTATGACATTATTGTATTTAAGGCATGAAAGACATATGATCCCGACATTAGACTGGTTATGCTACAATTTTACTGCACTAAGAGACCATGTTACATTTGATATTTTTCTAGGTAATAACAAATGTGCACACATACACACACACACACACACGCACGCATGCACACACTACATGGCAATGGTACCACTTTTGGAAGCACTTCATGTGCATTAGAGAAAGATCTTGTAACAAATACTTTATTCAGGGTCAAAGGTGTATGCAGTGAGTAGAGTAGAAAAGTAAAGGATGGAAGAGGCAACATGAAGCCTTTTTAGATGGTCCATGTGCCTTTTTACTTCACTTTTTGTTTTACAATGGATTTGCCATGGTCTACCCTCATTGTGTGGTTATACATAGCATTATATGAAGTAAAGTGTTATTTTGTTTACTCTGAATGCAGTATGGTTTAATCATAGGATCTTTGCATACTTCTATAGTTGTGAAATAGTTTTCGATTCAGTAGCTTCCTCATACCTCTATTAAAATGTTAATTTTGCTTAACTTTTAAAGCCTTCCTTGGTGCAGTTGACAGGCTCATTGTTTTCAGGGTTACGTGGACTTTCCATGGATTGCAAAGCGCCTGTTTCCCCAGTCATTAGCAGCTAATCTAAATGTAGGATAAAGTTACTTGGCCGAATAATTGTAACAACACATCCGTTTAAGCTGCATTGGCTTTTTGGTCTTATGGAGCCAAGCCATTGCCTATCACACTGCCTGTTAAGCGCATTTTGTTTGATTTATCCAATCATATGATCATACAGGAAGATATGGGGAAAAATAGCCTTTTCATTTGTGGCTCTTGAGTGCAATGGTTAACAAGAATGACAGCTTTCATCCCTGCAATGCCAGATCCGTTGGTGAAAGTCATTACTCCAGACCTGACTGCCAAATGTAGCAACCAGGCACATTTTATGGCCACGTGTTCGAGGAACTGACGCAAAACCTGAAATACCTTTTGAGATGTGTGACCCGAGCCTTACTTTACCTGGCAAGAACCTTAGAGAGGATGAGGGGTAACTGGTGGGGGATATGAGATTATCCCACATCACGTTTTGCCCTGGTAAGAATCGGAGCAGTGACTTTGGACCTTAAGCAGTGAGCCCATTATGAAATATCGCTGAGCCTGAAACTCAGCAGGGACTGATCCATCAAACCTTTAAAGTAGCTGCTGCATTGTTTAAAAGTTGCCATTAGGATTTTGGATGAGCTGTCATTATAAATGAAATCATTTTTGTGTGTTGATTAATGATTGCTTTGTGCTCTTTTAGAAGAACTCCCATACTAACAAAAAGTCTGATTGTATTTTCACGTTTTGTAAGGCTGTAATTTTATTAAGAATAATAAAAAGATAATTGATTCTAAAAGTGTTTCATTGTATATTTGTTATTTATTCATTTTTCATATGTATAGTTTATTAAGCATATATTGTATATGGCATGTTTAGCCATAAAGTTGAGTTCTTAAGCAATTCATTAAAAAAAACCATCTGGCTTGTTTCCAAGCACCGTAATCTACCCAAAAGAGCTTTAATAGGAATTGACTGAGAAAATCATTTTTATTTGTTTATTTGGAAAATGTAATTTTGCAATTTGTTTCCATGTCAGTCACCCTCTGCCTTGTAATTATTAAAATTCTCTCAATATTGCTTGACAGTTGTTTGTAAGGAAAAAATATGACATTGACTGTAGTATGCATATGCCATCACAAGTTATTTTGTTTATTATTTGTCAAAATTAGTACAAGTTAGATCAAATATTGCTAAACATGACATTTAACCTATCATGTTATGGTCAAGTATTATGTTGGGGGAAAAAATCTCAAAGGATAAGGGATAATCATCTCATGTTTTAGACAGCAAACAAAAGTATACAGTGTTCATCAGTTAGCTGATAAAACTTTGATTAGTAGCAATATCATAATAAATATACTACTATTTTTATATAATAATACTATCTGGGATATAAGTGAGATCACAAAATAAATTGACTTATCAAATTTGTATCTCTTTCTCATTCATCCTTTCTTCATTTCTGTAATTTAATTATCCTCTGAGGTTCCTGTATATAAATCAGCTGTCATCAATCACACATACTTTCTGTGTAACTTTGGTAGTTATACAAACCTTATAAAGCTGCTAAAGCTGAATATGGTGCGTTGTTGAAGAAATATAGCTTTATAATTAGAGAATTCTCACTTAAGAGCCAACGTGTTGCTGAATGAAAGGGGCCATTATGGCCTCATAAGGGTCAAAGTCTGAAGATTATGGTATTAAGATCGATTATAGAATCACTTCATCACAGTGGTCACTTAGCACTGCTGATGGCTACAGAGCTCTCTGTTCCAGCCTCCATTTGTTGTTGATCATTCTAAAATGTTCCACCCCATTACAAAGGTCGTATGAGAGGTCAGCTGGAGGAGACATTGCAGATGCTGATTGATGTGTCAGAAACCTAAGGTGGATGACTTCTGTGCCCCGTTGCTTCTTTTAATAAGACAACAGGATCACAGTTGGCAAGGCTTACACAGACCCAGGGGGTCTGTCAGAATAAGAGCTTTTGAATAAGGGGCTATGGCATAAGGGCAGAAACATCTGACCCTGTTGGGCACCCTGCCCACTCATCTTTGGGTACAGTGCAAGGCCCATCAGCTGGATAAGACGGTTATAAAGCCTCTTGACTAGAATAATAGGCAATATGTCAGGGAGGCAATAGGTAGCTACTGTGGTGCTTCATCTTCATCAATGATGAGCTGCATTCAATACTATTTCTAAAATGAGTTTGGCATCTTAGCTAAGTACATCATAACAGAAAGCACTGGATAAAATAAATCATTTGTTTCACCAATAAGCCTATATATTCATGGCCATGATGTTACAAATCAATTCAAGATGCTATTTATTTTTTTTTGTTTACTCTCAAACGTTTTCTAATGAAAACGTTTGTTCACTCTCTATTTCGTATTTATACTGAACAATTTTACAATTGTATATTCTCTGAAAACGTCAGTTAAGAAAGAAAATAGTCAAGCACGAGCAACAATATTACAGTAATATTAATGTTTAATTTACCCGGACGAACTGTCTAATTTTCAGCGTAGCCATGAATGAAAATATTTGAATGTTAAGTAGCTATTAGTAGCCTCTTAATAAATTGTTAAAATGCAAATATTCTACTTGTAGGTTTCAAATGATTACATGTAAAATACATTAGGAGCATGAACACAAATATTAAATATTTATTGAACTGACCTTTATTTTACAATTTCTACAACTGTATATCCACTGGTACGAACTGTAAAAGTAAGTTTTGAAATAACCGTGTCACTCATTATAAAAAGAACCGAGCCTCTTAATAAATTGTTAAAATGCAAATATTCTACTTTTAGGTTTCAAATGATTACATGTAAAATACATTAGGAGCATGAACACAAATATTACATATTTATTGAACTGACCTTTATTTTACAATTTCTACAACTGTATATCCACTGGTACGAACTGTAAAAGTAAGTTTTGAAATAACCGTGTCACTCATTATAAAAAGAACATTTACTTAGTATATTTAGGCATGAAACAAAAGTAAATGTCACAGTCTTAATTTCGATGCAACTTGTTATAGTTGATTTTTATACAGATTTATGGCCTTGTAGTGCATAACCTCCATGTAATAATGTGTAAATTAAGATGAGGGGTTGTGACCTGCACAATTACTCCCTGCATATTTAACTCTGTCTGATTAACGCAGGACGGTAAGAGCATCTCTCAAGACTGAAGTAAACAGTCTCATCACTGTAGCTATTATTTGTTATTTTGTGCTGCCATCATCATTCAGGTCAATGGGATTGAAGAGGAAACGCCAAAGGTTATTGAGGAGGGTTTGAGCATGATCACTTCCTCTCATTTTATTCTCTCTCATATCAGCATACACACTTGATCTTTTTCTCTCTTTTGTAAATTACATGGAATTTATTAACAGTTGAACCATACTATCTACATGGAGATGAATCATACACCAGGTTCATAGTATTACTCTGGTGCCATCTATCGATGGAATATAATTTTAAGCCACACTTTGTTTAATGCTTATATGAGTGAATTAATAGACTGAGACAAGATATGTTTTCATGCCATCACTGCTGAAAAAACCCCACCTTAAACCAGACTGTGTTGGTTTGCTGGTTTTCAGCCTGGTCACTTGGCTGGTTTTAGTGGTTTTAGCTGGTCACTCTCGGAGGCCAGCATTTCGACCAGCTTAAACCAGATAACACCACCTAACTATCGTAGGCTGATTTAAGATATTTTCAGCCTAATTTTGCCTTTGTTTGTCAAACAAGTTCCCAAGCAATATCCACTGAAGAAAATTAATCACATTTAGTGGGGAAATCCATAACGTTATATGATGGATTTGCCATAAGAGGGCGACATTGCAACAGTCTGAATCCGGAAAGCATGGCGCTGGAAACATGTATTGCGTTTTTATTAGCAGACAGTTATGATGTTGAAGATTTCTTATTTTTCAAGAAAAATGCAAATCGCAAACGTCGGAAAGTAAGGTGAAAAAAATAACAGTATTCTGTATATTGTTCAGTTTCGTAAACAAACAGCACCGTGCCTCTTTTAATGCGCCGTTTGTTTACTACAACTTGCAACTGTTTGACAATTGGAAATATTCCTTCAGTTGTCCAGCCTTTTGAAAATTTATCTTAAACTGGCGATATTTTGAAACGTGGTTGCTGGTACGTTCAATGTACCAAACACAGCTCGATTATATATTTAGCTGTTGATTGAAGACCACTAATGGCCAGCTAGAAACCAGCAACCAAAAAGCTGTTTTTAGTTTCAGGAGTGAAAACCCAATGATGCAACTAATTCTTTTTATATAAATTTATATTTCAATAGAATTAAGCTGAAAAATGAACCAAGTGATAATGTGCAAAGGTAAGATGATCCTACTGAACATTATTTGATATTAGAAAGATACTGTTTATAATAAACATTAGATAAATGCTCTAACATTATTCTATTTCATGTGTCAGAGAAGGTGACAAAAAGAGATGTTTTCAATACCGTGCTGCAAAGCTTGAAAATAAGTGATTTTAA